AAAAGGGAAAAAAAAAAAAAAAAAAAAAAAAAAAAAAAGATTTAAAATGTAATTTGAAAAAAATGGACATAATAGTGATCTAGACGTGATAGAGATGCATTCTCACAATGCATCTCATTTATACAAATTTAACTAGGGAACAAACAAATAGCTTAAATGTTAAATAACTTCGCAGCCAAAAACTGCACACACTGTGAAGTGAATATAAAAAAGTTTTTGCATCATGCAGTAAACACACCTGAAATAACACTGCTGACTCAAACCTTAAATATGTGCCGCCGCATCATGGAGCACGCTCTATGGACACTTATTATGTATTTGTTAAACTCACCTCCATGAGGGTACTGCAAAGTTGGGGAAAGGAAGAAGTCCATTTTGTCCTTCAGATCATCTTCATTTTCTTTCTCCCACTGAGTACCAACTTGCCTCCAAAGCTCACATGCCAAAGCCCTGAACAAAGAAAATAAGACCCACTTTTACCAAATTGCTACACCAAACTTTAAACGGTTATACATAGTCATGATCAGAAATGGCATAATAATGTCATTGGTTAGTGATACTTTATCTCTGGGAGATCATCACTGAGGCTGCTCAGCAACAGTGGAATAAGCTTGTGGAAGTAAGAGTATCTGTCCCGGAGGTTGAGAAGCCAGTCACCAACAACCAAAGTCACAGCCTTCCTCACCTAGAAAAAGTCATGGCAAAGAACAGCAAGATGCATAGACTATTAAGAGGGTACATCAACATCAGAGTCTCACTATTACCCTGAGTGAGAAATGGGACCCTATTTCCATAATGCAAAGCACAACGTCCTATGGCAAGAGCTACTACAAATTGCAAAATCATAAGGGCATGTCCCAAGGAAATTGTAAAACTGTAGAAAATATAACACAGTACATTTTCAGTATAATCCTTTTACATATCACCTGCTAATTGCAGAGCAAAGGAAATAAACTATGTTTTATTCACCGCCTGATTATCATTGCAATTTTTAGCTTTTGCTTCTCTTTGGCCAAAAACCAAATGTTGAGTTTTTGACCATTTTTGGCCAAAGAATTTCAGTGGCATTCATAATAAATATAGATAACTAATGGTAACCATTTTTTTGGCTAACCTTTGCTAAGACAAAAATACTTTGACTTTTTTGAGTTTTATTCTACATTAATGAACTCAAAACATTCTATATTTACCTTGACAGAAAGTGAGGGCGCTACATCAGAGCATCTTTTAAGCAGGAAAATCACGTTGAGACAAGAGCACTGATCAAAGGATTATTAATTTGTGATGGGATTGAGGCTTCCAGGGTTATCTGTTAATTATCTGTGAGTTCAAAATACCTATGCAATTATCAATCATTCCAGAATAATACACCGATGCTCAACTGTATTTTTTTTGGGGGGGGGGAAAGAACACTGTCCTTTTGACATGTTTTTACTCATAGTACCATACTTCAGTATTAAAATCTGAGGCTCCTACACAAACTGTGCAAAGGTTGGCAGGTCTGTAGTGCATAAATGGCATGATAATCAGCTGAGCTAGATCAGGTGTGTTAAATTATGGAAAACACAAAAATATTAAATATGAAAACATAATCTAGAAAATCATCTTGCCTGGGGTGAGTTATCAAACAGTCTCTGTGCCATGTGAGAGAGCACATCATCCATGGTCTTCACTGTGCCATACCGGACAACAGCCCCAGAAGCCTCTATGATAGCCATTCGCACCCGTGAATGCTGGTGTGAGATAGTCTGCATCAAGGGCTTAACCAGGCACTCTGCTTGCATGTGGAAGTGATCTATGTCAGTTTTCAAAGAACAAATAAATAACAAAACATTAAGTCAAAACAGAAAATGTTAGAAACAAGTAAAGTTTTACGCAGTTTTAATAGAAAAGAAAAGACAGAAAAAGAACCATGTCTATAAAGCATTGGGGATGGGCTGATGCAACTGATTTTCTTTTTGATCTAATACCAAGACTAATATTCCGATATTAATACTTTGAATTTTGTATTTACAGACAGGTTCATAAGTATTTGGACAGTGACACAATTTTCATAATTTTGCCTCAGTACACCACCAAAATGGATTTGAAAAGAAGCAATCAAGATGTGATTGAAATGTAGACTTTCAGTTTTAATTCAAGGGGTTTAACAAAAATATTGCACTAACCGTTTAGTAATTGCAGTAATTTTTTTTACATAGTCTCTCCATTTTCACAGGCTCAAAAGTAATGGGGTAATTGAGTGATAAGCAGTTTCATGGCCAGGTGTGGCCTGGTTCCTCATTATTTCATTACAAATTAAGGAAATAAAAAGTCTAGAGGTGATTCCAAGCATTGAATTTGCATTTGGTAGCTGTTCATGGGAACTCTCAATATGCAGTCCTAAGAGGTGTCAATGCAAGTGAAAGAGAACATCAAAGTGAACATCATTAGGCTGAAAAAAAAACCAGACCTATCAGAGAGATACCAGAAACTTTAGGAGTGGCCATATCAACAATTTGGTACATTCTTAAAAAGAGGGAATGCATTGGAGAGCTTAGAAACACCAAAAGGCCTGGAATGCCCACAGAAGACAACTTAAGTGGATGATCGCATTATTCTTTCCGTGGTGAAAAAAAACGCCTTCTAGCCAAGTCAAGAACACTCTCGAGAAGGTAGGCATATCACTGTCAAAGTCTACAATCAAGAGACGCCTTCATGAATGTAAATACAGACGGTTTACCTCAAGGTGCAAAACACTCAAGAACAGAAAGGCCAGATTAGACTTTGCTTAAAAAAAAAACCCTCTTAAAAAAAAATGCCTGACCAGTTCTGATGCAAGATTAACTTGTACCAGAATGATGGGAAGAGAAGACTACGGAGAAGGAAAGGAAGGGCTCACGATCCAAAGCATACCACATCGTCTGTCAAAAATGTGGATGAAGTGTTATGGCATGAGCATGTGTGGCTGCCAATGAAACTGGGTCACTGGCAAAGCATCTCAAGAGAGGAAACTCAGCATTGGTGATGTCTATGGGTTCCAGACTTCAGGCAGTCATTGACTGCAAAGAATCCAAGTATTAAAAATAATCCTAATATTTATGATTGTTAGTTTGTCCAATTACTTTTGAGTCTGTGAAAATGGAGAGACTATGTAAAAAATGGCTGTAATTCCTAAACGGTTATTGCAATATTTTTTGTTAAACTGCTTGAATTAAAGCTGAAAGACTACATTTCAATCACATCCTGATTGCTTCATTTCAAATCCATTGTAGTGGTGTGCAGAGACAAAATTACGAAAAGTGTGTTACTGTCCAAATACTTATGGAGCTGACTGTATATTTATAAAAATAGATCAAGAAATAATTAATTAGAAACTGTTCTCTCTTTGGATCCTATTCAATTACACAAGTAAGCCATATACACTCACTGGCCATTTTATTAGGAACATCTAGACATCTGCTCATTCATGCAATCATGTTTGGTTGTAACCTATATTTAACCAGAATAAAAAAACTCATTGAGATAAAATCTCTGCCAAGAAGGCAGCAAAAAACACAACAATTAAAGACACCAGTTAACAACAGTTAACACATTAAGAAAAACTCCAACCAAAATAAGTGAAAATAAATAAATAAATCAAACAGAAATAGAAACATACATAATAATATACAATCAAATATCACAGAAACAACTTCCACTATGGCTATTCTCAAAGTTATTTACAATTGCCATAAATTCAACCAGTGAAGGGAGTACAGTAAGTTTTAAGTGTTCCTGTAAGTTGTTTCACTTTAAATGAGTTTTATAGTCACAACCAGTAACAAAATGTAACGGCAATGCAATGCACACAACCATGCAGACACAGGTTAAGAGCTTTAGTTAATGTTCACACATTAAACATCAGAATGAGGACAAATGTGGTCTCTGTGACTTTGACTGTGGCATGGCTGTTGGTGCCAAATGGGCAGGTTTGAGTATTGCAGAAAGAGCTGGTCTCCTGGGATTTTCACACACAACAATCTCTAGAGATTACAAAGAATGGTACAAAAAACACTGAATAAAGTCAATAAAGTTGACTGAATGATGAGGAAAAACAAAATACATTCAGTGAGCAGCAGGTCTGTGGGTGGAAACAACTTGTTGATGAGTAAGGTCAGAGGAGAATGGACAGAATGGTACATGCTGATAGGAAGCCTACGGTAACACAAATAGCCATTCTTTACAACTGTACTTAAAAGCATTCCATAACACACAACACGCTGAACCTTGAGATGGATGGGCTACAACAGCAAAAGATTGTATTGCACTCCTGTCAGCCAAGAACAGGAAGCGGAGGCTACAGTGGGCACAGGTTCACCGATACTGGAGAGTTGAAGTAAAAACAGGTTATGGTACAAATAACCATGCCACGGTCATTAAGATAAGTGATAAGATGATCACTGAGATATTTTTCCCCATTCTGATGTTTGATGTGAGCATTATACCTGTCCTGTATCTTCATTTATATCTTCATATCTGCATTTAATGCATGGTGCCGCTGACACATGATTGGCTTATTGGATATAACTGCACAAAAGACAGGTGTACAGGTGGTCCTATTAAAGTGGCCAGTAAACAGTAAATTTTCACTTTGATATCCCTTTGGGGGCAGTTGTGGCCTAATGGTTAGCGAGTTGGACTTGCAACCCTGAAGGTTGTGGGTTCGAGTCCCAGGCCGGCAGGGATTGTAGGTGGGGGGAGTCAATGATCAGCGCTTTCTTCCACCCTCAATACCACAATTTAGGTGAGTCCCTTGAGCAAGGCACCAATTCCCTGGGCGCTGCAGCAAAAAAGGCTGCTCACTGTGGTGTGTGGGTTAAATGCAGAGCACAAATTCTGAATATGGGTCACTTCACTATGTATGGAACTCATTGGTTTTTGCTTTAAAGTAGACTAATCATCTAGTCCAGTCATTTTTTTTTTATTAGGCCTACTGGTTAACTAGTAACCCCTTATATAGGCTATGTCCATTATCTAAATATTGAAAATATATAATAGTAAGAAATGTATTTAATATGAACTCACATGGGCTTGTATGCAAGAGCTGCCTGTTACAGAAGCTCTGTATTTGTGTGTTATTTTCATCATTCTTTTTGTTGTTCTTGTGATTTTCTTTGGCCTAAGCATGGTCAAAAGGGATACCACGTGGACTGGCACATCTCTTATCATCCTACTGACCCTTGGGATTGATTATCATCAAGCCAGCATTGTTTACACAATGGAACAGCTGCTCACTCTCAGGATGCTGCCTCCTTTGTCTCCCTGGCGAAAGTATGGTCTTCTGCTGTTGTAGTCCACCCACCTCAACTTTCGATGTGTTGTGCATTCTGAGATGCTTTTATGCTTACCACAATTGTACAGAGTGGTTATGTGAGTTAATGTAGCCTTTCTGTCAGCTCAAGCCAATCTGACCATTCTCTATTGACCTCTCTCATCAACAAGGCATTTCTGCCTGCAGAACTGCTGCTCACTGGATGTTTTTTCTTTATTGCACATTTTATTGCAATTCTTTATTCTGAGTAAACTCTAGAGACCATTGTCTATGAAAATCCCAGGAGATCAGCAGTTATAGAAATATTCAAATCAGCCCGTCTGGCAACAACAATCATGCCACGGTTAAAATCACTGAGATCACTTTTTTTCCTTGTTCTGATGGGTGATGTGAACATTATCCAAAGCTGCTGTCCCGAACCTGCATGATTTTATGCACCGCACTGCTAAGTAGGTTTACAGGTGTACCTAATAAAGTGCTCCGTGAGTGTATATTCGATTGTAGATGGTTCTCTATCCACTCCAGAGTGAGAATATTCACGTTTTATAACTTTGTAAATATATTTCTTGAGAAATATGGAATTGTGAAACTCGAATATTCTGTGAATGCCCAAAATAGAACCAACTCTACGGCGGTATCAGTTATCGGCTAGTTTACATATTTCCCAGTTGCAAAGCAGCACTCCCCCGACTTGGACTGAAAGGAATTTACGCTAGTTGTCTAGTTAACAACTCACGTGTTAAACAGAGTTTCCCTTCCTGCCTCCATTAATAAACAAATGCATTAGCAGGATTATTCCTTAGCCTTCCTTTTCCTATAAACAGCATTAACTTTAATTTACTTTTGAAGGCTAGAGATGTGGTTATGCCAAAAACTCACCTGGTATACTCCGGGCAAACTGTATTGTACATTTACAACTCTCCTTTATAACGTCGGGGAAAGGGTCGATTATAGTTTTTTGCAGGATTTTTATCATATCGTCCAGGTACGGGGCAAGGTGCCTTCCGCAGACCTCTGCAATAAGCGACAGAACTTCTACCATGGACAGCCGCAACTCTTCTGCTGGTTCTACTATCTCTTTTCCACCGAGTCGCTGAGCCAAGGAAGGCATTATATAAGGCACTGACGACTCTGGTTTTGAAACGCATCTTATGAAGTCTCCAATTATTTGAATAGCAACTTCTCGGCATCTTTCCATAGGATCTGATAGGCATCTCAGAAGCGGCTTCAGCAGACACGCAAAAACTTCTTGTAACACGGTACTTGACAAACCTTTCTCTATGGTTTCTTTTTTTATATCCTCCAATGCTTGTTTTCTTGTGCTTTTCTGACCTTCATTCAAACAGTTTAAGTGTCGGCCCAAAGATCTCATAATTTCCGCAGCAGCACATTCTTCTTCTGTCGCCATTACTAGATGCATGTGTTGCTGAGTCGCTAGTAGCTATGGTAACGACCAGCTTTACGACAAACACGCCTATTTACGGCAGATCGATTTTACACTCCAAGCGTTCTTAAAAACGTTCGATAATCATCTAAAGCAAGGGTTTTCAACCATGACCTTTTGTGTAAGCAGTAGTCTTGCTAGTAGTCTCCCTGACTAATCAGTAATAGCACACCAGTAACGTAACACAAACAAATGGTAGCCACATTTTTTTACTTTTTCTATTTTCTGAAGGTTAAGGTTACAAACGCTGTCCTGAGTCAGACTCGACTCACTTTACTTTTACTTTAAGACCCGGAGAATGACTTTACCAACTTTACCAACAAAGTTACCAACTGGAGTGTGTGGCAGGCACCTTTAAACTAAGCAAAAGGAAGGGGCCGCATCATACCACAGCACTGTTAATTAGTTTGCTAAAACACAGTGCCTCGTCGTGTTTTATTCATTACTTATTCCACAGTGCTGTTGAATTCGTGAATCCGATTCAGAAGGTCAGAAGGCGTTGATAAAGAAAGTAATAACACATGACTGGTCATACTGTCATAGGAAAATAATCCATACCATGGGCCTGATGGGAAGCATTGTTTTCCTGTAACAGCATTCCTTTTATACTACATGACTTATTAATGAACAACACTTCATGCTTTTTACCGTTTATAGTTACAGTTAAGGGTATGGAACGTCTGCGAGACAAGTTAGTTCCTGTTACCACTTTTGTTATAGCACCTATAAGCAGTTTTTCCCTCACTAGCCTCTCTTTCTAATGTCTCTTTTGTTAATAAAACATAAAACTCCTCTATCCTACAGACTGCCATGGTGGAAAATTTACTGTTACTGAAATGAAGGAGTGCATTAATATAAACCTATTACTTATGTTACAGCCAGAACTCCTGTCAGAGCCTTACAGAAAATTAATCCACATCCTCTGATAACAGCAGTTCTGAAAGTAGTGCCGGCTGTGAGGCAAATCACAGGTTTATGTTAATGTGCTCCTTCTAATACATTATTGTTTCTATAGTAACAATAATCTAAGACAAATAATAAACAGATTTAAAAATGTGCTCTTATTTAACAAAGCAGAATGTATAATTATATACATTGAGATATTGTATATAATTATACATTCTGCTTTGTTAAATAAGAGCACATTTTTAAATTTGTTTATTAATTGTCTTAGAAAAAGCATTGGGTATTGCGGTTTCTCAGTAAAGTGACAACATGGAAAGATATTTTAAATTAACATATTGAAGTCTGTGCCAAAACACAGACCAAGCTGACCATCTTTGCCAGCAGATAGAAAGGTAGAAATGAACATACCACTGAAATACCACTGCTAATGCTACATTACATCACAGACAATTTTTAAAAGAAAGTAACACAAGAGTAAGGCAATTAGAAAATCTCAAACATGTATTTATCAATTTAGTCAAGTAATATCTGTAACATGACAAGCTGGCTAAGTTTTAATTTCTCAGCAGGGACAGCAGCCAGTTGTGTTTTATTCTTTTTACATTTAAAGCTGAAGATTCTACAATCTACATTCAAGAGGATGCAGTGTCAGAAGGTTTACACTTCTGAGAGTTACCATCACCAATGACCTCAAATCGACACCGCACACCTCATTTTCAGTCAAAAAGGCTTACCTGATCTCAGAAGGCATTAGTGCCATAAACAGTAGGGGTGGAGGAAGTAATTGTACTGTGCATCATGATACTTTCTTGACAGATTTTGTGTTGATGCCAGAAACACAACTGCTTTCACGGGGCGGTGTAACACACTGAGAGGAAAGCGCCATTCTGCATGAATGAGCTCACAGACACAGATTGCTGCCTATCCCTCTGTTGTGTCTTATGATTATTATACTGTGCTGCCACTAGAGACACTGAAGAGGAGAGGCTGTGAATGGTAACTGGCAAAAAGGAGAGGAGAAGAAAGTGGCTAGCATGAACGTGGAAAGTTAATGTGTGAAGTTAATGTTCCGAATAAAGAAAAGAGTTTGGAACATTTTTACAATCCGTAAAAATAACAAATTGGCAACGAGGATGCTAAGTTTTGAGTACTGAATAGTACTGATTGGTGTACAATGTCTCCAGTGTTTCTGACCTGGCCAGGAGAACCGACCATGCCATTCAACATGTGGCTGCGCGTGTTTGATATCTATTTGCTGGTGATCAATGCAAGGGGAGCATGACCTGACGCCCGGATGAGAGCTACATTACTTCATTGCCTAGGTACCGAGGGACAGAGGTGAGACATATGATACTGCAGTCGCTGCATTGAAAAAACAGTTTATTCCCAAAGTAACATTGTTGTGGAGTGGCATACATTCAGGTAAAGAACACAAGCCCTACATGAAAACATACAACAGTATGTTGCTGCTTTGCATGCACTCGCCACTAAGTGTGACTTTGATGATAAACCTGACGATATGATTCCCAATCAATTGCTGGAACATTTGAAAAGCGATGACAGTAGAGAAAGGCTTTTACTTGAGCCAGACCTGACACTACTGAAAGCCATCGCCCTTGCAACATAATTAGAAGCCGCAGCTGAGCACGCAAAGAAAACGATGGTCGACAGGGATGCTGCAGTTTGGGCCGTACAGTTCAAGCCATGCCATATGAGAGGGAAACATTGTTCAAGTCCAGTTGCTCCCCCCACTTCTTCTAACCGTAAGTCATGTTTCCGATGTGGTTTGGATAAACATCTTGCTAAATTAGTCAGCATAGTGCCCTGCTGCAAAAATTCAGTGTAAATTGTGCAATAAGAAAGGACATTTTGCTCCAGTGTGTCGTTCAGGCTCAGGTAGTGATGTGCGTGAGGTATAAGTGCATGACGTCACAGTGCTGTGTTTATAGAATTCTGGCCAAGTACCAAAAAAACTGCATTGCGAAGTTGCTGTCCCCTACCTTGCCTGGCACAACCATACAATTCATTGTGGATCTTCTGTGTCTATACTGCCACTTCACAT